ATGCGGATTGAAACGCATGAATGGCGGTACGATAAATATTCACAATGCACATTGTTATACTATGTGTTCATTAAGTTGTTAGGATTAAAAGCTTAATGATTCTGTTTACGTACAAATTGTACGTGTATGCGCGGTAAAACAAATCGCGATACGATTAAAACTTTGCGTATTGAAATAGCGAGATGAGAATTCCCCCGTTAATCCCTTTAACTTTTGCCAATTTCGAGCTTTCGCCGGGTGAACAAATTGAAAAATTTATCTTGATTGGCCGCATACGAAATTTGCATACGTACGGTTGATCATAAATTTCATTAAATATCTATCTATTCCTAAATAAATCGGACCCTCGAAGCGCGGATGGAAAATGGAAAATAATAAGATGCCACACGTACGGACTTATTTGACTCGTACAAGTGTTCGATGGACGGACGTCAATGCCACGTGCACGTGTACATATCACTTATCAGAGATCGAGCTCCGTGTCCAATCGTAATTAAAACGGTTTAAGGTAAAGATGAGTTGACGCGATCGAACGAGCCCTCATTGCCGTGCGAATTTATTCACGACGTTCGTCGTGGCTCTCCTTAATTAAAATTTCTTAATAGGTTGAAACGCGTTTCATTTTATCGGTTACTTGAACCGCCCTACTCCAATCGGAAAATAATATTCAAACGGAGGAGGAAATTGTTGAACAATTGTGTGGAATGATGCGATTTAAGAGAGGGAGGGGGGATAAAGAAACATAAAGAATAACCGTAACTGAAATGGGTTCGCGAATAAATGAGAAAACGAATTCCCCGAAATCTTTTTTTCTCGGGAAAAAATTACTGGCTGGAGAGATTAAATTACGATTCAAATTTATTGCGATGCTTGAATCTAACAGACGTAAAAACGACTTTAATTTAACGAATTAAAAAAAACTGACGATAAATATTACATTCGTAGGTGAAAAAAAACTGCCCCAATTACGAGACACGAATTTGGATAATACCGATGAAATGAAATATTCGAAAGGAGAGAGAGAGAGAGAGAGAGAAAGAGAGAGAGAAATAGAGAGAAACTTGTAGATGGAATATAAAATATATTGAATGCATGCGATCATGCCGATATCACGGATTACGTAATGGCGCATCTTTCTTGAAATCACGATTCAACTCTCGTGTTTGAATTACATGAAAGTTGGCCGTCTTCTGAAATATGAATCCCGAGAAGTGTGCACAACGAGGCTTCACAAGGAATCGTTCGCTTCCTATCTCGCCATTTCGATCTCGGTCAAATATTTGGCGCAAACAGTTGGCGGTGATTTTATAATTCTCGTCGAGTGGGGTACGCTCGTTTTAAACGGAAACGGGTCCGCCTCCTATCCCCAACTGGTCTCGAGCTTTTTTGCTTGTGCTCCCTATACAATTTGTCGTACAATCATTTCATCCCGAAGAATCGAAGACCTGATATAAATTGGTTTCGAAGCGCGTGGAGGAGAAAGCAATTGTTCGTTTCTCGTGCGATGAAGCAGATACACCACGAGTTCCGGCAACATTTCTTCCAATTTTCCTGTTCGAGGCACAGAACTGAAGAACGTGCGGTAACGAAATTCCGACGACGCCTGGTTCGTTTGGCTAGACCGATTATACTTACCGTGGCAAATTGTTTTATCGTAAAGCAAATATAAACCGATTATAGATCCGCCGGTTTAATCTGTTCTACGCCGCGATACGACGACAGTTTTCCAAGTAAACTCTCGAGAGAAATAATTTTGAATTATTATATCAACGTGCGAGAAAATGAATATAGGTGAGGCGGACAAATTGCATGGTGTGCAAATTTGCGCTACTAATTAGCAACTGGTATAACAAATTACAAACTACCGACGAAATTGTGGAACTGTTAAAATGTTTCGTAGATGTCGGTAGCAAAAGAGAGATCCGCATTTATATTCCGTTATTTCGTCGTGGATCGAGGCCGCGTATAAGAGGGCGTTCGCGAGCTTAATTTTCTTGAAATGTAGACGGCATTTCCCCCCGTCCCCTGTGTTTTGTCGCTGATATTTTGTTCTTTCGGTGGAAAAAGATGCGATTGCTTTTATCAAATTGCGATAACAGTCGTCCCATCGATCAAAATTTCCCGCATCGAGAACAACGGAACTCAAACGGCCGTCAGATGGCAGCAGCGATCAGTAATGGAAACCGGGTTTACCTTATCGTCGAACGCTTGGCTAAAAAGTTTGATTCGTTTTTAAGGCGAAGTTGCAACGCAAAAATTGGTCGATCACGTGGTAATTAAAGAAAGGAAAAAAACGAACGAATAAAATTGTTGCAGGAAATGTTAAAATTACGAGATTTTTAAAGAACAATTTTAATTAGATCGTTTTTGTGCGCGAATCTTTGGAAAATTGAATTCGGAATAATCTAGAAGATAGAATCGCGTTAGAAATAAAATTGAAATGAAAAAAGAAACAAATGTTAGGATTATTGGAAAACCTAACTGCAAAAGAAATAACAGGTTATTCTAACGATATTTCTTGGAACTTTATCCACGGATCCCTTTATTTCCACAAACCGCAATAAAAGTCGTATTTACCTTAAGCTTAATACCTGCTGTTAATCTAGACAAACAGATCGTTTCTAAATTGGAAAAGAAAGTATTCAGAAATGGTCTTCTGGAATAACTGGTTTGCGAAGGTTTCTTATTTTCTGCTGAAATTCGATAGAACAACGTTTCCAGCTTAACGTTTCCACACCGAATTATTTTATGAGATCAAATATTTTCGTGCTAATATATGCATAATTCCGTCGAATTATTATCGTAACATTATATTTATACCCGGCAAAGAGGCTATTAAATACAATCAACGATTCTCTGAGAACATCATATATAATTCGAATTAACTGCGATAAATGCAATAATATTAAAATATCGTAACTGTTTATTATATAGAGAAATATAGCGATGCAAATAAAGAAAAATCCGAAAATCGAATCGAATGCGAATTTCATTCAATTTCGATCGGGACAAAGAGTTTCCGATTCACTCGATATCGGTATTGATACAAGATGGCGGAATCGCTCGATATTCCACTGACACGCTGACTTAAATATTCTTAATTGCATCGATTGTTCCGCAGTAATTGTTGATATCGATTGTCGTGTCGTGCTGATATTGTGTCGTTTTAATTTCGAAATTTCACACGAACTTCGCAGAAACTTCGTTGCATATCTTCCTCCTTTCCTTTTCTCTTTTTCCATCGTTTTCGACGATTATATTATTTCGCGAAACAAACACATTTCTTATTAATTAGTACGATGAACGTAAAGTTAACGTAGTTATAAAACGTGGTTATCGCGGGATGTCGGAAATAAAAGGTCCATTAATACGGAATTTAAATCGATAACGTTCTCCGAAATAATATTTCCTTTGTCTAGGATGCTATACAGATATTGAAACTTGATATAATTGGAAACGTTTCACGTTCGATTTCTTTCATTTTAATAATTATACCTAACCTAGCTATACCTAAACTGAGCATCGCTCAGTTTTACTCTTCGTTCAATTAATTTCTATTTTTAGTTCCTCTTTTGTTCGTGCAATCTTTGTATAAGTAGTAAGTATACGTGTATATTACGCATCGAAATAGTCGATCGATCTCTTCACAGAATCAATAAAAAAAAAATAAAATAAAATAAAAGAAAGATAAGAAGGTACTTTAATTTCACAAATGAAGTAGATAGTAATTTTAGCCTTATCGAGATACTTCAATTCCTGCTCAATAATTTCCAACGGATAGCGTGGAAGTTAATGCCGTGTTAAAAGCGATAAAACCAACCAAGTTGCATTCACCGCGACGAAAGTTATGGATTCGAAACGGCGACGAAGAAGTTCGGTTAACTCGAAGTCGCGTTGTGTAAATTAATCAGGACAAACTTCGAATGACTGCACTGAAAACTTACTATATGCAACTCCTACGATGCGTGTCCTTCCCTCGTTTCATTCCTCGTTCATTTATCTTTTTTTATTTTATCAGAGAGAAATCAAAACATGTCTATATAACGTTGAACAGTTTTCAGTTGAAGCGATATCCATTAAGATTTCGATTGCTGTTTTTGTTCTCATCGTCCATTATTATTTTCTTTAGTTTGGATAAAAAGGGCGAACCATGTGTGTTCCCTTAACACAATTTCCTCTGAACGAATCCTCTGAACGAATCAAACGCTGTTTGTTTTTTAAGTTTAAAGATGTAATGCGTAATGATCGGCAAATGAACGATAAATCTGGACAGGTGTCTCTTATTGTCGTTTTACAGTTGAAGAACGTCGGACTGTGAAGATGACAGTGATTACGAGGGATTGATTTTATTCGTTCGAATGGAAAAACGTCGATCACGACAGAAATGCGAAGATCAAATTTCGATTGATCGAGAGAAAATGGAATTTTCTCATTGTGCGTGAATTGAATTTGAAAATTGCGAAAAACTGATTCCGTTTAGCGCAGACGGTATAATTGGAAAGGAAGATAAATCAAGAAGGAAGAAAAGAAACGCATGTGATCCCGGGATAAATAGGATGAATCAAGGATAAACAAACATCTATGAATATTTTTATCACTGTCCACTTGGTTATACGAGATTATAAAAAAAAAAAATCGTGTATTTGTGATAATTTTTAATCCGTTCAAAGCAGATGATATCTGTTTGCTGTTCGAAGAAAATATACGGAATGTCTAGGAAAAACGAAACGAATTTAAAAAGAGGAAAAAAAAATATAATAATATCTACATACAAATCTAAATATCAAATTAAACAATTCGCGTTTGTTCCAATTTAAATAGAAAAATTATACTAAAAATATTTGTAAACGACAGAAATGAAAAATCATCGAAATTGATCGGATTCCGGATAAAAGGATTATACAAAACGATTACGTTTTTTACGAGGAAAAGAGTAAAGAGAGAGAATGATGCGGCACAAATCGAATATTAATTGATTAATATCGTCAACAGCGGCTTACCTCCAAACCTTATCGACCAAGGACCGACCTCCCTCCTCCACCTGTCCTCTCCCCTACGATTAAAACTCCTCCTTTTTTATCCCGATCGATCGATCGAACGAATCTCGAGCGCCGTTAGTGAATCGGCAAGATCCATTTTTGCCGATTTTCGAGGATAATTCGACACTTGCAGGATGATATTCACGGTGGAAAATTGATCGACACACTCTGGAAACCCGAAATGGGGCGAAATTACGTTCGAACAAGCGGCGGAATTTTTACACCAATTTACAGCCGGGCCCGTTAATTCCTCGATTATTAGGCCGGAAAATTTCCCTAGTAGGGTGGAAAAACGGAAAAATAGAAGCCGTATGGAACACGATTTCGCCACGTCGGTGATTTATCGACGAATCGGCCACGGATGCATCCCGATTGCGACTGAACTCGAGTGATCGCGCGTGGAAAAAAATTAGCACGATCTTGTTTCTTCTGGTGAAAACGTATGCATCGTTTCGAGGCATGAAACTTTTTTTCCTTTTTTCTTTTTTTTTTTTTTCTTTTTACCGTGTGTATATGCGTTGGAACGTTGCGTTCGTTCGATGTATCACTTACCGAGGGAATTCTAATTGAATTCCAAGTGGTTCGGCAAACGTAACAACGAATCACGCTCGCGATCCTGCGCAACCATTCCGCCGGGACGTTTCTAGAAATTCCTTCGCGCTACTAATCCGCCTGTGCGGCTGTCGGTTGACAATGTTGAAAGAAGAAAGAACACGTTGCACGCGAGGAATGCAAAATAAATGACCGATTGTTCGAGAGAAAATTGTTGCGGCGAATCTCTGTGTATTGATTTGAATATGAGCCGTGGCAGTACGAAGTACAATAGACGCATTCCTATTCAAGATCTTCGTCGTTTGTTTCGAACGCGAGATCGAGAAGGATATTTACTCAACACCACGTGTCGTTTGTTGTACGATACATTATTTGGATAGACGCGTAAATATATCGATCGTCATCGACCAATAATTTAAACTCGTTGGGGCAGCTAGGATATCTTGATCATAATTTAACTTCGATGCGACGTAATGCTATAATTACTCTTATTGGAATTTCTAATTATCTCTGATTGAATCGCCATTTATTACAAAATCAAATTCATCGTAATCGGTTTATCTCCTCGAATCCGGTTTATTTAATGAAAAAAAAAATCGATGGAATTCGATTAGAGTATCGCGAAATAATAATAATTTTACCCCGTGAAAGAAGAATGATGGGGAAAAAAAACTGATGTAAAATTGATTTTCGAATATCGCTTCGTATTGTTTTTCGATTTTTCGAAAAAGAAGAGAAGGGGTGGTTCGGAAGGGCGCATCCTCGAATAAACGTCTCGGGCGTGGAAAGTGAAGAAGAAAGGGTAGACAAAACGATGCATCGTGTTTTGCGACTGCGTGGAGGGAGCGCGGAACGTCCGCAAATCCAAGTTTCGCTTCAGTTTACGGCGCGCTGTCGATTTCGCCGAATTGATATCTAGTAGTGGTAGCGATAACTAAAACTGTATTTCAACTGTGAATCCATTCTTCTCTCGTGACGAGATCTCTATGGCGAATGGTCGCTCGTTGAAAAAGGAAACGCGCGTCCTTCGTGTGCTTTTAATATGTCGGCGACAGTAGTTTTTCGCGCTTTATCCTAGCGATTAGAAAATTTCCTCGCGGAAAAATTCTATTGTTTCGTTATTTATATCCGATTGATTTAAATTTAAATGTATCTTGCCCCGTCGAGATCGAGGGGAGGGCCCGAAAGGAAGCCTCGAGTGAATGGCGCGCGAGTGTGCATCGTACACTTTGCCAGGCAATGTATGAAGATCGGTTGAGACACGAGGAATCAAAGATCGTTTCAAAAAGGCGAAACTTTCAGCGGCTCGTGGTGGAGGAAAAGCAGGAGGAAGGCAGAGTGAAAGGTAAAATCATTTACGAAGTCTGTTGCTCAATTGAGTTATCGATAAACAGGATCCATCGAGTTATTCCGTTCGATGTCACTTTGCAAGGATAACTAAACACAATTCGCAAATTGTAATAGGATTATATCTAACAGGGCGTTTGTAATTTGCAAATTTGTAAAGAATAGGTAATTACACGTATTGTTAAACACGTATTGTGAAATTTAAATGGGAAAATGTTGAGGAGATCCATGAATTTTGACATTGAATATTTTTCGACGTTTATGAAAAATGTGAAATTATGAAAATGAAATGAAATCATTTGACTTTCGCGAGGAAAGCTCTCTGCATTTGTTCGAAAAAGCTGATTTTACACCACGCAGGTTTAAAAATAGAGTGCAATATACTATACAAACGTAGGTGAAGTGGCGAATAATTGATACGCAAACATTTCTCGTTCGAACGGAATGCACGCGGATACATCGCCGCGAACTTACAAGTGGTTTTCTAATTTTAAACGTAAAATGCCTCCGATTCTCGAGCTTCGCGTGATCACGATATTGTTAACACCGTCGATACCATCTTGGATCAACCTTGTTTTCCATCTCGAGGTCCATACCTTTTTCAACGACACAACAATTCAACTAACATCTATAACAATCACGCAAAGATTTCCTTGATTATTATGCATTCTGATCAACCTTCTCTAAATTCAACGATGAATAAATTGCACGTCTCGCGTCCGAGATACGTCCGCGAGTAGTTTCAACGAATAATTCAACGCGAATTTTGATTTAATAACTCGAACGTTTTATTGCGTTTCCGCACGGTCGAGAAAATTCGTACGAATTGTTGCTTGCCGCATAAATCGTGTTTAGAGTAGTTCACGCGCGAAGAATAAAATGAAGCTAGCTAGTGGTGAAAACGTGTCGTCGAATCGAAGAAAACTCGAAGTGAAAAGTGGGAGGGTAAAGCTCTTGACGACGATTCGGTTGGAAACGTGTGTTCTTCATCGGCGGAGAGATGAAGGAAAGCAAAAGATTGGGAAAAAAGATTTCTCGTTTGCTCAAGAATTTCGAGTTTACGAGGCAAATGTGCAAAAATCGCGTTGATGAACAAACGTATCGACTTTTTTATTTACCGTGTTTTTTTTTCCGCATTAATAAAAATACCGTAGAGGAAACTCTTTTTTTTTTTTTTTTTCTCTCCCAATTAATTCTAAAGTTCCGTATCGAATCGCTTGATTATTCGTTAAATAATTTAATTCGTGTATCGAAATTTTTCATTCACGATAAACAAGCATTCGATTAATAGATTTCAATATATCGAATGAAACTTTTTTGAAAAAAGTAGAATATTATGCGTACAATTTGATACAGTTTGAGAGAAGTGAAAAAGGAACAAGGCAGATTGGATCGAGAAATAACGTATTCCATGATCGTCGCTTGGACGCTTGTTTAACGTGTCAACTAAGTTTGACATAGTGCCTCAACTTCTCTGGAACTGGCGTTGCCAACACTTATCGCTTGCCATTTGCATCGAACGAGGAAAAGATGGCACTTGGTGAATGAATTTGCAAAGCCCGATAAGAACAATTTTTTTCTTTTCCTCTTTTGTTAATTATTGTTGTTTTATTAACGATCTTGTTACGAAACTTAATTTGGATACGAAATCAGATACCGTGTTTCTAACTAATTGGACATTTCTTTTTTTTTTTTTTTTTTTTCTTCTTTCGATTACACAAGAAAGTGACGTGAAAGCTAATATCGATGAGTATTTCGTGCATACATGCGGAATGCATAATGCACTCTCTCGATTGTATAGGAAGTCAAACAGGAGTGTCAAACGAGTCTATAATGAAACAATTGAAGCGAAGCTTCACTTTGTCTAATTAAGATGCTCCATGCTTGAAACGCTGAGGTACCTGCATTTTCGATAATACGCAATTTAGTGCATTTATGCGAGACACAACTATTTACGGATACAATTCATAATTCGTACACCAATCGATGGTTGTTAAAAGAAGCTTTATTATCGCAATTTTCTCATTCGGACAATTTTCTTCGAGTACAAACGATTTATCAAGATAAAAAAAAACCCTTTGAACTTTTCAATATTATTTCCACACTTTTTTTTATCAACGATAGTATCTGCGGCAAAAAAGAAAAAATTCTCTAGTTTTAGAGATTTTGCAGATATCTTAAATTTTGACGTTTCGAAATTTCGAAGAATTTCTTTGATGAACGAAATGTTTTTTTTAATAGATATAGGAAAAAATTTGCGAAAACTTGCATCCATTGGGAATAAAATAGAAGCAAGAAATCATCGTCCCTGTAAATAACGTGCGGATAAATTTGTTCAAGAAGGGTTTCCCTCTTAATCCAATCTTTAACTTTACCGATTAATCTTGAAATGAAAAGCGGTTGTTACCGTTCATCAGAGATTTGCAAACGATTCTTAATACTTTCTTCCAACGAAAGTTTCGACGTTTGAAGATTCCTTCGACGAAATCGCTTCGAGCCACTCGAGTTTCGAGTATCATCCACCATCGTGTAAAAGAAACACGTACAAGATAGAAATAGATAGAAATAAAAGCTCGAAGCAAACTTCGATAACTAAATAATTCTTACCCTTCTTAAGGATTTAACGTCACGAATATACCTCATTTTATCATCGAGGTATCTTATTATCAATTTGATTAATACGAGATCAAGAATGAAAATTGTACCATCATGAGCCACAGACCAAACATTGAAATTGGCAAAATCGATGGAAATTCGGAAGGATGGATCGAATCAGAAGAAGATCGAAGCCAAAACTACGCTACGAATCGAAAGGGATTCTTTGATTTGGCGAATAAAGAAGAACGGAGGAAAAACATGTTATTCGGTTTAATTACCTTGATTATCCGACTGTAATATCTTTAGAATCTTAAAAGTGTCGTCGACTAATTACCGACTTTACGCTAAGCTTAACACGACGAGGATAAACAAATGTTTTAAACGGTGAGCGTGAATAATTAAAATTTGCCTTGATTACGCTCGCCAAAGCGAGAGATTATTCGTCCGATGGCTACCAGTTTCCTTCGTCGCAAAAAAAATTTCTAAGCCTCTCTCTCTCTCCCCCTCTCTCTCTCTTTGATTTCCTTTTTTTTTGTCCCTTTCTCGTTCGATGGCGATCAGTATTTCCCAAGTGACGGATTACAGGAGAGTAGAGAGGAAGGTACGAGCTGCTTGGAAGGTTCATTAACTTGGTAACTCGAGGAATAACCTGGTCGAAAAAGGAGCCGCGAGGAAACGTCGAGGAAATGCCTCCATTCATGTATTATTCCTTTTCTTCGTAACCAAAAAATTAAATTCCAACCTCGCGTGTCTCGCCGTGTTCTGTTCGATTAATTAAACTCGAGAAATTATCCAGAGAATGTCAGAGATGCGAAGATGATGGAACTTGATAAAAAATTTGTCGTTAGAAACAAATAGACGAATTAGAAATTAATTTTTAATTATTCGAGGGTAGAATTCCGTAACGTATGCAAATGTATATATGTTATTAAGAACGGTGTAAATTAGTACCACAAACCAGATACTAGATACCCTTGCATTCAATCGGAGCGGTGATCAACGGATAGTCGTTTAATCCTTTAATGCACATGTGCCTGCACGAAAGGTTAAAATAAACTCGTTTCGTTGAAATGATTCGACTTGTTGAAAATCCCATCTTACTTTTCGTTCTTCTCGCTCTGAATGTCGCCTACACGATTTTTTTAAACGGGAGGACGAGGTGTTGATCTCGCGAATGAGAAGCGCCACGATCGAATTCGTGGCGATGGTAGAGATTCTTTGAGGAAGAAAAAAAGAAAGTAACCTTGTTTATCGCGTGGAAAGATAGAGAGGATCGAGCAACGTGATCAGAAAAAAGGATTAATGGTGACGAAATGATGCATTTCGACGCGACAATTAATTATTGTAACGGAATGGGATTAAAATTGGTTCGAGAAAACGTCTATTTAAACTTTTTAAACGTAAACAGGTACGCGATTCCGTGAAGTTTATCTAGAACGAAAACAACGGGGGTATCTGAATCTCAATTAAAATGATAATTGTTGCACGGGGAGAAGAATAATCAAGTTAAGAAAATACAATCAGAAAATATATCAAAATATGGCATATAAAATGAGTGTAAAGAGGTATTATTCGGTATTATTTTTAATTCAAAAATTCCAGAAATGCTAATGCTCGCTCGAGTCGGGTAGTTTGAGAAGGAAAAAAAACTTTAAACTAAATTTATTTCAACGTTTCCGATCGACAATGATCGAGACAATATTAGAGCATACTTCGTCTCCCAAGAGGACGTCCAAACCCTCGAAACTTTTAACAAATTTTCTCTCTTGAATTTCTCCTCTTGAATATTTTCGACGAGTTTCGAAACGTTGAGCCGATCTACGAGAACAGCTACGAGATTAAAGCGAAAATTTTTTCCACCATCCTTTTGATCATTTATCCATCGCTATTTACCGATTTTCAATTTAAGTTCCGAGTATACGTAACGATACGGCTTCCGGCGAAACGGAATAAAGAAGCTGAATAAATCAAGGTTTACTTTTAGGAAAGAGAGATCCTTACAGAATCACGCGTATCTGTATAAAATTACTTTAATCGGCAGACTTTGGCGGATGAGAAAAAAGTTTCTCGCGATTTTCAAAGCTCGTTTGATACGATTTGTCGTTTTCGTTGTCTCGAAAAAGAAAGATATGTTTCTCGAATGAAATAAGTCCCGTGGAATAAAATTCCATCCGTGAGAACGTGGAAGATTTTAATCCACGAATATTGGAACACGAAACACGATTGATAATTGCAGGAAAGGAAAGGAAGATGTTCGAATTTACGAAAAGAGTTTTAAACCTTTAGATCGATCCAGCGTTACGAAATTATCGATAATAAAATAATTTGCATTGATCCCCTGGATTAGATTCGCACTGGAGATCCCCGAAAACGATCTGTTTTAATTAAATACAATTCGTT